AACAAATGTGCATATGTGCTTGACACAATGGATATATGTATGGATTGTGATAAGAATTGTACGAGCCCCCAATAAAATAATTTGAAAAAATATGATCTGGGATTCTGGCATTGATCTGAATATTTGGACATGCTTGGGACAGAGGAGCTTCAAGTATTTCTACAAGCAACAGATGGGAAATTTCCCAAGATTAGACTATTTATTTCTTGGCAGTCTAAAAATATGTAGTATGTAATCTCTGCTCTGGGAGTTTAGAGAATACACTTGAACCTCATGACTTCTAGATGCAAAAGAGATTCCCAGAAACCTCCTTGTTAAAGGACTAGTCAAAGGGAACCTAACGTGTCGTGGTTTCTAATGCAGAGTAAGAGTTGGACTTCTTACTCTTTAGGGCTTTCCCAATATACAGAAATGTTGACACTAGAATCACCTGAAGTCAAAGAGAGAGGGCCCTGCAGGATTCAGTATGACCAGATCCCTACTTTTTATTCCCTTATTCTTTATTTATGTACTCATACTGTATCCAATTTCATCAATGCAGTAGCATGCAAATTGCCTGGGTACAAGCTTTGGCTCCACTCCTTACTAAATATGACAGAGGTTCTCAACCTGTGGGCCATCATCCCTTGAGGGATGAAGAACCCTTTAACAGGGGTTCCCTAAGACCATCGGAAAACACATATTTCTGATGGTCTTAGCAACTGAGGACACGGCTCCTCTCTGCATCTCCAGGCGGTCCACCCATGTGCAGATGATATGCCCAATACGATTACCCAGCGTGAAGACTGTTAGCCATGCTACACCAGGCTTCAAGACAAAATTTCATTTATTTGTCATTAGAAATCAATATTTCACAATATAGAATTACATATTGTTTTTGTGATTAATCACAATGCATTAATTATGTTCAATTTGTAACAATGAAAATATATCTTGCATATCAGATATGCACATTATGATTCATAACAGTAGCAAAATTACAGTTATGAAGTAGCAATGAAAATAATTTTATGATTAGGGGAGCACCACAACATGAGGAACTCTATTAAAGGGTCCTGGCATTAGGAAGGTTGAGAACCACTGAAGTATGAGATACTAAGTTCATAATTCTCTTGTCTTAATTTGTGTTACTGTAACAGAAATACCACAGGGAGGGGCTTTAGAGAACATAAAAGTATTTCCTCACAGTTCCAGAGGCTAAAGGTTCAAATCAGGTGACCAAACAGGTGATCACTTCCCAACTTGGTATTTTTATTCCTTCTGTGAACCTCTCCACGTTTCTGGTGTCTGCCAGCAATCCTTGGCTTTCCTTTGTGTTCCCTGGTATCTGTCTTCTCTGCGTCTATTCTGCTATGTCCCTCCTCATCTACTCTGCAACTTTGATGACTCAGAAGTAATTGGGTTTAGGATCCAGCCTACTCTGGTGTGATTTCTCTTTCCAAACAGTTTCCTATTCACAGGTACAGAGGTTAGGATTGAAACAACGTTTGGGGGAACATAACACCATGTTTTGCAATCTGACCTTTCATATTTTAATGATCTGTTAAGTGGTGGTAAAGCAATACCACCTCAGAGAATTGTAGAAAGGATTTATGGTGTTGATACATGTAAAATGCTAAGAAGAGTTCCTGAAACATAAGAAGTGCTACCTATATAAATGCTTGCTATTATTAATGCATGTTGATGATATTCTATTCACATTATTATTATTATTATTATTCAGCTGAAAAATAATCATATTCCAATATGAGTATTTACTACAGTTTTATTCTACTTCATGGTTGTTTTCTGGGGGAGAGAGTGTTTAGCAGTTGATGTGTTTTGAATTTCATAAAGTTCTCAGGGTTGTTCAAAGGATAGTAGGAGGCAGAAAGAGAAATAATATTTATTAAGCACTTAATATGTGCCAGACACTGAGCTAGGAATTTCAACTCATTTATCCCACTTAATTCTAACTATAATCCTGTAACACATACTTAATTTCAAATCAGGAAATTGAAGCCCAGAAAGATTAGGCAATTTACCTCAAATCTCTTCACAATTAATGTTTGAGTTTCACATTTCACTGATGATCTACTATGCATTCTAGCATCCAATATCATATGATGATCACTGATGCATTCTAGCATCCAATATCATAATTACAGAATGAGAGATAAAGACCAAGAAAGAGGAGCACTACTGCTTTCTAAATTTACATTTATATACTCAATAAATACTATGAGCCCCTGGTGCTTAATAAGGCAGTTGGGAAGAAATGAGGTAGTATGTTTAAAATGCACCTTAAGTCTTAACACATAATAAGCACTCAATAAATGATAAGTGTTATTGTTAAACCACCACACCACCACTTGTCTGTCACGTTGTCATACTGTGGTGGCTTGGGCTTTGCTGGGATGCTGGAAGCTGTGTCACCAGTATTTAAAATACCAGCAAGGTCATCCATGGGGTGGTTAGGTTCCACTGCAGATTCCAGACGAAGGCAGACTAGGAAGAAGAACCTGGCACTCTCTGTCTGAGAAACCTGACCACTAAAACTTGATGAATAAGCCACGGAACATTGCCTGACATGGTGCAACGAGATCAGCTCTTCAGGTTTGAAGGCACTCAAAATGCTGGGGAAGAGCTGCCTCTTCAAAGTGGAGTTGACTTTAATGATGTGGGTGGAGCAAAGCTTGCTTTTGGGACCTTCATCTGCTGATGTGGCATAATGCAAACCAAGAAGAAACAGCTGCAAACATCTACTAATAATCATAATGTGCAGTGTATGAAGTATGAAACTGGGAAAATTGGAAGTCATCAAAAATAAAATAGAATGCAAAAATATTGATATTCTAGACATTCAAAATTTTAAAAAAACTCATTGTCATTGAGCTTATTCTGACTCATAGTGACTCTATAGGGTGAAGCAGAACTGCCCCTCTGGATTTCTGAGTCTGTAAATCTATGGGAGCAAAAGTCTCATCTTTCTCCTGTGGAGCAGCAGGTGGGTTCAAACTGCTGCCATCGGGGTTAGCAGCCCAATGTGTAACTCACTATGCTACCTTATCCTAGGCGTTAGGGACCTGAAATGTGTTGGTAGTGCCCATTTTGAATTTGATCTACTGTGCCAGGGATAACAAACTGACAAGGAATGGTACCATGTTCAATGTCAAAAAGAACATTTCGAGATCTGTCATGAAGATAGGATATATATATAATTATATAAACTGGACTTCCTTCTAGGTGTATATTAGCCTACCCCGATCTGTCGGGGTAGGCTAATATACACCTAGAAGGAAGTCCAGTTTATATAATTATTATTCAAATTTACACACCAAAGATGAGAGAACTGAAGGTGTCTAAGAAGTTCTGCCTTCTGAAATTGACCAAACTTGCAATCAAGATATAATACTAATTATTGGTGACTGGAATGGGAAAGTTGGAAATAAACAAATGAAAAAGGATTGGTAGTTGGAAAACATGGCCTAGGTGAATGACATGAACAAGAGATGGCATAGCAGGATTTTGAAAATACCTTCATTCAGCAATATAAAAGACAACGATACATGTGGGCCTTGTTGAATGGAATACTCAGGAATCAAATCAACTACCTCTGGGGAAAGAGATGATGGAGAAGCTCAATCAATAGGAGCCAAGGGCCATATTTGGAACAGACCATCAGTTGCTCATATGCAAGTTCAAGTTGAAGATGAATAAAATTAAAGCAAATCTATGCGAACCAAAGTCAGACCTTGAGTCTATCCCACCTAAATCTAGAGACCCCCTCAAGAATAGATTTGGCCTCTTCAACAAGGCGGCCTGAGCAGCAAATGCAAAGATGCAGGTCTTTGTGAAGACCCAGACGGGCAAGACCGTCACCCTTGAGGCTGAGCCCAGCAACAGCATCGAGAATGTCAAAGCTAAAATCCGAGACAAGGAGGGCATTCTTCCAGACCAGCAGTGTCTGATTTTTGCTGGTAAACAGCTGGAGGATGGCCGCACTCTCGGACTACAACATCCAGAAAGAGTCCACCTGCACTTGGTGCTGCGTCTGCATGGTGGTATCATCGAGCCGTCCCTGAGCCGGCTGGCCCAGAAGCACAACTGCGACAAGAGGCTCTGCTGCAAGTGTTGTGCTCGCTTTCACCCACCTTGATGGTGAACTGCCCAAGAACAAGTGCCACAACAAGAAACTTGCATCCTAAGAAGGGCAAATAAGGGCCCCTGTCTACTGGCTCTCCTGCCCCCTGCTGGTGGGGTTCTCCTGATCCCAATGGCCCTGGGCCCTCAAGAAAGTCTCACTTTCATTGACCTGAAAAAAAAAAAAAAAGAAAGAAAAAAGAATAGATTTGACACATTGAACTCTAATAACTGAAGACTAGATGAGTTGTGAGGTGACAAGGACATCCATCAGACATGAAAAAGCAAAAAATAATTTAAGAGGAAGGAAAGAATGAAAATACTAAAATGAATGTCAAAAAAAGAGACTCTGAAACTTGCTCTTGAAAATGAACAGCTAAAGTGACTGGAAGACATCATGACGTAAAAGAGCTGAACAGAAGATTTCAAACGACACCTCAAGACAACAAAATAAAGTAGTATAATGAAATTTACAAAGACATGGAGTTAGAAAGCCAAAAGGACAGACCTTGTCTATCGCTTTTCAAGCAGAAAAAACTGAAGAAGGAAAAGAAAAGCACTGAGTATCAATACTGAAGGATTCCATGGGCAAAATATTCAAAAGAAGACAGAAGGAATACACAGAATCACAGTATTCAGTGGTATTGAAAGAAGCTCAAGCTTCACTGAAGGCATTGGCAAAAAAACAAGGCTACAGGAATTGACAGAATACCTATAAAAGTTTCAACAAGTGGGGGATGGACAACAGAAAAATGGGTCAGGGAGACATCCGATAGTGTAAGACATAACAAAATAATAATAATTTATAAATAGTCAAGAGTTCATGAGGGAGGGAGAGGGAAAAATGAAGACCTGACACCAAGGGCTCAAGCAGAAAGAAAAATTTTGAAAATAATAATGGCAACATATATACAAATGTGCTTGACACAATGGATGGATGGATGGATTTGATAAGAGCTGTACAAGCCCCCAATAAAATGATTAAAAATAAATAAAAAATAAAAGTCAACAAATGGATGCAACGCTAGAACTACTGACTAGTCTATGTCAGGAATTTTGAAAGACAGAAACCTGGACAACTGTCTGGAAGAGATCTACATTTATGCCCATTCCAAAGAAAGGTGGCTCAGAACAATGTGAAAATTATTGAATAAGATCACTCATATAAAATGTAAGTAAAATTTCGCTGAGGATAATTTTAAAAACAGTGGCAGCATCTACAGGAAAAGTGTCAGAAACTCAAACTGGATTCAGAAGAGGATATAAACAAAGGATGCAATTGGTGACATATGGAATTTTATCGAAGGCAGAGAACAGCAGAAATATGTTTGTCTGTGTTTAATTGACTACACAAAGGCATTTGAGTATGTGGATCATAGTGAATTTGGGGAAACATTGCAAAGAATGGAATTCTAGAACACCTAATTGTGCTAATATAGAACTTGTACAGAGAAACCAAGAGGTGGTTGTTTGAATAGATCAAAGGGGTATTTTGTTGTTTCAAATCAGGAAAAGTGTGCGTCCTTTCATCATAATTACTCAATTTGTATGCTGAGCAAATACTCCGAGAAGCTGGCCGAAGAACAGAATCGGAGGAAGACTGATACACAGATGACACAACTTTGCTGGCTGAAAGTGATGAGGATATGAAAGCACTCAGTGATGAAGATCAAAGACTATGTAGCCTCCAGTATGCATTACACCTCAGTGTAAAAAAAACAAAAGTCTTCGAAACTGGACAAATAAACAATTTCTCTGATGAACAGAGAAATTACTGGTGGGGTCAAGGATTTCATTTTACTTGGACCCACAGCCACAGTCAGAATGCTCCTTCGAAGGGAAGATGGTGACACTTCATCTCACATACTTTGGCCATGTTATTCAGAGGGACCCGTCTTCTCTGGAGAACTGGAGAAAGATTCCATACTTGGTATGACATACTTAGGGTAGTGAATAAAAAGGAAGACCCTTAATAAGATGTATTGACACAGTAGCTGAAACAACAGCCTGCAATACAACAATCTGATGCCACAGGACCGGCAGTGTTTCGTTCCCTTATACATAGGGTCGTTCTAAATCTGTACAGACTCCTGAGCAGCTGACAACAGCCACTGTCCTTAAGACACGTTGATCTCTGCTTTGGAAACTGTATTTCCCAGGATCCTCTTTGTCCGGTTCATCTAACCGTTGCATTCTGGGCCTTGTAGTCCGGAAGTGCGTGACTAGTGGCTCGGCGCGCCGGCGCAGTAGTGCGGATCCCCGGAAGACCCAGCAGTGGCTCCCAGCATGAGCGGGTGGCCGGGGCAGCTGCTGGGGCGGCGGCGCTGACAAGACACGAAGCTCTATGCCTTTCCGGCTGCTCATCGCGGTCGGTCTACTGTGCGTGCTGCTGCCCTTGCACCGTGGTGCGCCGGGCCCTGATGGCACCGCGCCGGACCCTGCCCACTACAGGTGAAAGGGACCAGGTCCTCCGCCCCTCTTGAGTTGGTGGGAGGAATGGGAAGCGCAGACCCAGTTCCTTCCTTTCCCCCTCTAACCCAGGACCCCCCTCTGTGACCGTCGCTGGGGTCCCTGCAGAAAGCTCGATTTCTTGTACCTTTCCTCCACCTGGTTTGCATGTTCTGGCTCCCGGCCTTATTTCTTGTCCCTCGCACCAGGGAGCGAGTCAAAGCCATGTTCTACCACGCCTACGACAGCTACCTGGAGAACGCCTTCCCCTACGATGAGCTGCGACCTCTCACCTGCGACGGGCACGACACTTGGGGCAGGTAGTGGAGGGGCAAGGGAACCGACGGGTTGGGCAGTTCAGACCCTGGCAGGCGGGGCGGTTGGAGCCGGTGGCTTTCAGGTCTTGATGGTTTCTGCAAAGTTCTCGACTGGGGCGCAGCTTGACTCCCTCGCCTCGATTAAGGACCCACTGAGCCTCCTGCTCGGTTTCCCCTCGAAGTGAAAAAAGCCCGTGTTATTCTAGCTAGCTGGACCCCCTAAGGAGGAGCAGGCACCAGCTGTAGGGACTTGGGAAAATCTATGGAGCCGTAGGTTAGGGTAGGAAGACCGAAAGAAGTACGAAAAGCCAACCCCTTATTTTGTAGGTAGGCACACTGAGGGCCAGGACAGAACGGAACTGCCCCAAACGTTAACACCTAAGGGGCTTTGTTCTCTATCTCTGAAACACGTCTCCCCTTATCCTGTCATCGCTTATTGCTTATTCAGACATCACCCCAAAAGGTCAGCCCCCAAGCATCAGCTAGCTCCTCAGCCCCCTACACGGTCCTCTCATAGGGTCCCCCGTTTTATTTCCTCTGCAGCACTTACCACTCCTTTTCACCTAACTGTAATGGGTTGTCTTTTTCACTCCCACTGGAATAAAAGCCTATGCGAGCTGGAATTCTCTGTCTTGTTCCTTGCTGAGTAAAAAACCATTCCATCAGCTGAAGCTGACATTGATTGAACGCTGTACGAAGCAGTCTGTGTGATCACACTTGATTCTCTTAATACCTCTAAGAATTACATGTCATTATTCCTGTTTTACAAATTACTGTGCAGAGGGCTAGAGAAGTTAAGCTTGAGAAAATGTGTGCTTATTTTTTGTTTTTCAGCTCAAAAGCAGTAATACAAACAACTGACCCATACAAACTGTACGAAATCATACACAATCCAATAACCATATCTCATACTCTAACACTTCAAGAACTAACAGTTCCTCTGCTTACGCCGTCATATTGGAATGTATGTGTAATCCACTGGATGGCGGTGAATTTTATATGTATCTTTTGAAAGCTGACTTTTAAAAGATATAATTGCATGTCATAAAATACATTCCTTTAAACTGTGCAGTGACACCCCCCCTCAGTCAAGAAGTAGAATATTTTTATCACCCTAAAAAGTTGTCTTATGTCTCTTTGCACTTAAATCTCTCACCACCACCACTGGCCCTGCTAGTCTGCTTTCTAGTTGTCTCTTTATGAAAATGCCAATGGAAACATACTTTACTGCTTATCATACTGTACCTTGTTTTTGTTTTTTCCCCTTTAACCACATAAAATATTTTTATACAAACAATATGTACATTATACAGTTTTCAGCATACTACATGATCTTCTCATGTATTAGTTTCCTATGCTTGTTATGAACATTATATGTATGTGTTTAAGTTGGCTCTGTTTCCATCAGCACATAGAACTCTTGGTAGCAATCTTTTTTTTGGCAACTTTGTCATTTTGCACTTTTCATGTACCATAATTAATCACATTCTAACAGGTAGACACTTGGAATCTGTCAAGTTTCTCCCCCCTCCCCTCGCCCCCCAAACAATACTGCTATGAGTATACTGCTACAAGTATCCTCAAACACACAACTGCATTGTGAGACAAATTCCTAGGTGTGGAATTGCGGAAAAACCAGCTCTGAGCCATAATCATGTACTGCCTCCCCATGGCAAAGAGGAATGCCAGAGACTCTAGGTCAGGGGTCCTCAAACTTTTTAAACAGAGGGCCAGTTCACTGTCCCTCAGACTGTTGGAGGGCCATACTATCGTTTAAAAAAAAAACTATGAACAAATTCCTATGCACACTGCACATATTTTATAGTAAAAAAAAACAAAATGGGAACAAAGACGAGAGCGTGGACTATTTGCATTAGCACTGTGATGCAAACCCCCTGGAAACCACCCCCAACCAACGAACCAACTAAAAAAAAAGACCTCCTAACTTCAGGAAAAAAAGGCCTCCCTTAACCACAAAAAAAGGCCCTACTAAGTGCAAAATTAAAAAAAAATAGACCTAACTTCAAAAGAAAAAATAAATCCTAACTTGTTCTTACCCAGGTCCTCAGACAGCAGCAGGCTCTGCACAGGCAAGTTCCTGACTCCTCCGATCACACCCGAGACTGAGAGGAGGAGTCGAGACAGAAGGAGGGGAGTCGGACAGTGCGGGCACACATTCCACACATGCGCACTGCGAGTGGGGATGAGTCGAGTGGCTGCTAAGCCGGACAGGCAGCAGCAGCAAAATCACCCTGTGGGCCAGATAAATGTCCTTGGCGGGCCGCATGTGGCCCGCGGGCCATAGTTTGAGGACCCCTGCTCTAGGTGATGTGTTTAATTATCATTGAGATATATCAGCCCACCTTCCCAGGTGCATTAAGTGGGTCAGGGTTCTTAGAGGTTTTCAATTGTGACTTTTCTGTTGTGGTTGGAAATGGGATGAGCAGAAGTATTGCTGTGGCGCACATGCTAGTGTCTGGGAGATTTGTTTGGGGACTGCCTTAATAGCTGCTGTTTGGTTTTCTTAATAAGCAGCTATGATTTCTATCCCTTGACAGTTTTTCTCTGACTCTGATTGATGCTCTGGACACCTTACTGGTAAGTGTCATTTATTCTGTTTCCTCTCCACCATTACATAACCAATATCTTCCTCCCTTTTGTCAGCTTGACTGCGGGTGAAAAACAAATACTTCTCTCGGGCTTTTTATTTTCATTTCATGATTCTCAACCATCTGGGGGAAGATGATGAAATCCAACTTGCTCAGGTTCCTTTATGTAGCCAATATTTATAGAGGACCTGTCATGTATATGGGACTGTGATGGCAGTGGTGTTCGTTGCTGGCATGATGTCCCCATGCGTACAGAGTAGAACTGCTCTCTAGGATTTGTCATCCGTGTCACTTTCTAGAAGCAGGTCACCAGGCCTGTCTTCTGAGATCCCTCTGGGTGAGTTCAAACTCCCTGTGAGATGCCTGTATCACTCTCTGGGGGTTAGAGACATTGATACTTCTTTTGTTTTCAAGAATTTATATTCTAGAAGACTTGTTCAGTAATGATAAAATAGCTATTGGTTAACATGTTCTGTATAAGGCTTGTGCTGAGCACTTGTTTAATCCTTCCAACAATCCCAGAAATAAGTACTGTATATACTCGTGTATAAGCCGAAGTTTTCAGCACATTTTTTATGCAGTTTTTAATGGTAAAATTAGGTTCCTTGGCTGATAGTCGGGTTGGCTTATACTCAAGTATATACGGTACCCTTATTCCTCTTTACAGCCTGGAGATCAAGGTGCTTAGGAGGTGAAGTGACTTGTCAGGGCCGCGTAGCATTTACTGGCAGAGCTAGAACTGAACTGAGTCTGTACGACTCCAGACCTTAACCATCATCTCAAAAAGGTCAGAATAGAAGATTGTTTCTGTTTTACCTTCTCGTTTTTTCAATAGATTTTTATTTTGTTGTGGTTGAGAATATAAACAGCAAAATACCTACACAAACAACATTGGTTACATTCTTCACGTTATGTCACCTTTCTCACTCTCCCTTCCTGAGTAGTTCCTCCCTTGTTAACATGAATTCACTGTTACCTAAGAATCTTATCTAACCTTTCCAGTTGCTATTCTCAGTTTGATCCCAGATAGATAGTTCTTTAAAAAGTGTAGTACTCCAGGCAGACAGGCGTTAAAGTTAAACTGAACTATGATTTTAAGAAGACTGTGGGAGCTATTTTTGGTTTTAAAACTACTGATCTCTGGGCAATAGTTTCAGGGACTTATAAAACCTTCATGGCTTTTATTATTCAGGAAGTCTAGAGTCCATGAGAATTTGAAATTCAGTTCTGCACTTCCCCTTCTTGATCGGTATTCTCTCATAGAATCTTTGTTCAAAATGTTTAGTAAAGGTAATAGTAACTGGGTCCCATCCATTTCGTCTGGACTCAGGGCAAAGGAGGGAGTTGTTCTCGGAGAAAATCAGCCACATATTCTGTATCCTCCTCTTCCTGACTCTCTCTTCCACTGTTGTTCTAGGTAAATAGACCCTCATTCTCATTTTCATATATTTATATACTTACATTATTATAACTACTACATTGATATAATTTGGCTCACTTTCTTCTTCTCCTTCTCCTCCTCTGCCTCCTCCTCCTTCTTCTTCATCTACATGTCCATTCATCGAATCTTTATTGAAGGCCAACTGTGGACCAGACAATGTTTTGAGCTCTTCAGTTATACTGGGTGTAAGTAGACACGGTCGCTGCCCTCCTAGAGAGTATGACTTTCACCAGGGAAACAATCAACCCATAACCCTCAAGAGTGTATAATTACAAATCGGAAAGGACTATGGTTCTGGGAGTGGATATAGCAGAGGAATCTGACATGGACTGATGAGGTCAGGGAGGGCTTCCCTGAGGTAAACGGTTACTTGAGCTGGAATCAGAAGGGTTGGCTAGAGGAGGAAGGAGGAAAGAATGTTCCAGACAGAGGGAACAGCCCTGGAACGGGAGAGAGCATGGCAGGAAGGGAAGGAAGGACAGTGTGTGCGTGTGCGTGCATGTGTGCATGGCTGTGCAGGGGACAGGGGGAGGAGGGGAAGGGGGGAAAGGGGGGGGAGGCGGCGGGGGCCGTAAAGAGAGGCTGTGGGGCCGATGGGGACCAGATGCTACAAGCCCTTGTTCATTCAGGATTCTGATCGTTCCTTTGAGACCATGGAAAGTCTCTGAAATTTCCTAAGTTGTGGTCAGGAAATGCGATTTTTGTTTTGAAGAAATAAAGTGTGGAGAAAGACTCACGTAATCACTTATAAATATTTTTTGAGTGACTGCTTCATATTTTTTGAGTGAATTCTTCTTGGGCGGTGCTTGGCACTCTGGCGAGCTGTAGACATGTGTTAGTTGCCCTGCCCATGCAAACATTCTCTTAATACAGGAACAAGTGGGTTCCTCAGGGTCGTATGGATTAAATTCTTGGGGCCTTTCAAAAGCAGTGGTCAGTTTCAGCCGGTGAACCAAAGGCTTTCTAGATAGAATTACACTTGGAAATGGGGAGATACAGGAGAGCGGGATTACTGACAGAGGGGACAGCGCGTTTGAAGGGAGGAAATTGAGGGAAAATGGGGCTAGTTTTACTGAAATAGGTGAAGATTAGATAGATGAAAATAAAACACTGAGAGACATGGCCAGAAAAGTAGGTTGGGCCAAATTATAGAGGGTCTTGAATGCTAGAATAGTCAGATTAAAAAAACAAACAGAGAGCTGATCAAATTCATTTAGACAAGGAAACACATTGAGTCACGTAACTCTAAGGTCCACAGAGAAGCCTGGCCTCGAACCCGTTGGATTCCGCCATGCAGAAACGCCAGCAGGGACTCTTCATCTCTTTCTTGGTACAACGAATTACTTGGTCTAGCTCTTCCAGCTACGGTCTTTGTGGCTCCCTCCAGGTGACTAGGTGGGGCTATGCAAGTATGAGGTGCTTTTGGCCCATCCAGCAGACTGGATAACTTGTTAATAATGTAAATGAGGTGCAGAACATGCTTGTGGGAGCTAGGACCATGCAGAGAAGTTAGATGGCGCTCCAACCTGGGGATGGGTCAGTTTTGCTAGCCTGCTAAGCTTAAAATGTGCCATCCCAGAGATGGGGAAGGAGGCTCTTACCACTGTCGAGAAGAGCCAGGACTGGAGCTTGTTCTTTGCACCTGAGACAGGAGACAAAGAGCTATGGCACCGGAGACAGCACAGCATGGAAGTGGCAGAACCAGAAGACAGAGTGGTGGCTTCCCAGCCCACAAAGCAAGAAATCTGAGTGCCTTCGGGCTAGAGCTTGCTGGTGGACTGGAGAATTGGCAAAGCTAAAAGAGTTTTGTAAGACTTGCCTTAGCAGGGGTGTGGGGAAGTAGGCTGAGGCGTCCAATGCTAGAGAGAGGCATGCCTGTGGGCCCTGCTGACAGGAAGCTATCTCAATGGAATAATTGTATCCTGAGCATTTCTGATCTTAGATTGTAACTTGTTGTTTTTCCTGTTGGATGCTGTCTAGTCAGTTCTGACTCATAGCGACCTACGTACAATAGAAAATTACACCGCTTGGTACGAGTGTGTCATCCTCAGAGTGAATCTGTTTGAGCCCATTGTGGCAGCCACTGCGTCACTCCATCTTGTGGAGAGTCTTCCCCTTTTCTCCGACCCTCTGGTTTACCAAACACGATGTCCTTTTCCATGGCCTGGCCTTTCTTGACAACATGTCTGAAGTACATGAGACCAGGTTTTGCCATCCATGCTTCTAAGGCAGGCGTCCTCAAACTACGGCCCGC